GCTCTGTGCAGAATCCGCCAATGGGGATCCTGCCCCTCCTGGGAGATCTCCCTTGCCAGGGACCCCACCGCCCTTCCTTTCCTTCCGCGCCGGTTGCCCGTTGGCCGTCCCGGGCTGGCTCTCACGGGTCTCTCTTGCCAGATGGACGTCTACTGCTTCCTCTTCACGGACCTCTTCCTCATCACCAAGCCAGCCAAGAAGGCCGAACGCACGCGGGTCATCCGCCAGCCGCTCTTGATCGACAAGGTGGTGTGTCGGGCGCTCAGGGACCCAGGTGAGCGCGCCATGCGCACCGCTGGCCCCATCCTGTGCCCCCGATCCAGATTTCCAACTCCAACCCTCTTCTTGCTTCGTCGTTCTGGAGACTGCTGGGAGTTCTGAAGCCTTTTTTGCTCCCTGTCCAGGGTCTTTCCTGCTGATCTACCTGAACGAGTTTCGCAGCGCGGTCTGTGCCTACACCTTTCAGACCAGTGGGCAGTCGCTGTGCCGCAGCTGGGTTGAAGCTGTCTGTAATGCCCAGGTAGGCACCGCTGGACTCTGGAGGCTCTTTTCCTGGGGTGTCCAAAAAGTCAAAAGGGGTGGCTTGGAATGGCCCCTTCGAGGTTGCTGTGCCATCTTGACTTTTTTGACCTCTCCTGTGGGTGCCCCCTAGGGAAGGGCCAAGAGAGAGGCTGTGAAAAGGGGCAAACAATTTCCAAATTGCAGGGAGTCACCATCCAGCCCTGTCTGTCCCAATCCAATATCCCGCCTTAAGATGGATTCAGCAAAATTGGGGACAGTGAGGAACACTGAGGACTAGCAACCGTGGACAGAAATAGAAGGAGTGGGGCTCTGATAAAAGATGGGCCCTGCCTCTTTTGTGGAATAATGGATTGAAACTCTAGGAAGGCAGATTCTGATTTCATTGACCCAGAGACCTTGGGTGGGTCACGTCCCGGACGGGTTGGTTCCCCGCCTCCCATTCCTTTGAGCCCTGTCGGAGGGCCTTCATGGAACCCTAGTCTTGGGCGGGACCCCAGAGGTCATCGAGCCCACCCCCTGCCCACAGCAGGATTTGCTCTCTGGCCTCTGTTTGAAAACCTCCAGCAAAGGGGACGAATCTGTACAACTCTTCCTAACGTCTCGCCTGTATCTACCTCCGTGAAGTTTCATCCCATTCGTTCTAAGCTTACCCTCCGGAGCAATTTTCACTTTCAATCGCTGCCTCCCTCTTGTAGCCTCAGGCGGGCTGGGGTCTGTCAGCATCCCCCCCCCCGAAAAAAGCCCTTCCAAAATCCTTCTAGGGC